TCATTAAAGGATGTCATGAATTACTAGCTTAAACATAAAAGTATTAGTTCCATTACAATGACAAAAATCAATAGTTACCTTTATTTCCATAGGTTGTTGACTGATCACCTTTAAATCATCATTATGACTTTATTCAACATTTCATTATACCTTATGATTTTAATTCATCAAATACATTCTTATTTTACTTGATTCYTTTTATCATTATTCATTAAAAATCATTTTATAATTATTTTTAAAGTCAACTTACAATCACATACATTTCTATTCATTTAAACACTTTAAACATATTTCTTTTTGTGAGTTTGTTAGTTCTCTTTTGTGCTGTGACCTCTGCCTTCCTTCCCATCTGGAACATACAAGCCTGACTATGAAGACACCACGTTTACCCAATAACCATTTACTCTATAACCTCCCTTGTTTGTTTCTGTGACCGCACCTAATTCCTCATTTTACATGTATTCTTCTCGTGATTAACTTGTTTTTAAACAATCAGTTACTTTTTATTTTGTTATAGAAAGGGAGTTTCCAACATACATTTTTAAATCACATTACTTATCACATTTCTTGACACCCCCTCCTTAAAAACGGTCCTGTCCCCGTTTRTTCCGATCATGCCACCGTCGATGGTCATTCGAAGAACGTCCTCCAWGGTCTCGATCTGGCTTGTGATGATCCTTACAATCGTAGGGTTTTGCAGAMTGATTAGACTCCAACAAAGATGGATAAAGATTTGCCAAAGGAGAGATTGATTCAGTGGATGGCAACTTTGAAGAGCTGCGGGAATAGGTGGGTGCCACTGGTGCAACAACGTGGAGTGGTTGGTAGGTTCGAGGCAGGGAGAATGCATCCTGCTTTTCTACTGGAGTGGTTTCAGAGCCTGRGTCCCTGGTAACCTGTTTTCCTGCTGGAATGGCCTCCAAGCCTTCTTTCCTGGTAGACAGGCGGAGTTGCATCCCTTCGGGGGTTGGAGGTCCGGTGTCTTGATTAGCTTCAGATTCATGGTTTACATGTGCATCTAGTTTGGATAGTGGAGAAGATGGCATGGAAAATCCATCGGGAGAGCCAGCTTCGGGCGCAGAGTTTGAAGATGTCCTCGGCTCATCTGCAGKAGGTGACCTCTGCTCAGTGGCATCTGCAGCTTGGATTAACTCAAAGTCCCCCACTAGGGCTTCATCCTCCTCTGTAGAACAGGTGGTTGTTACTACAGGGACCTCAGTTCCTCCCCTAATTCCATTGTTTGAAATAATGGGGTTCTGAGTGTACCAGGCCCCACTGTGCCCATCCTCACCCACTGATGGTTGTGGAAAGGTTGGAACGTCTGGGCCGAGAGGARGGAGGGTGGACATGTCGATCAGCATGACAGCTACTACCATGGCTAATTTTAGCTTAACATATACAAATTGCTCATTTACAGAGAATTAAATATCAACTTTTCATATTTTAAGCCAAACTTTGTGTTATTTGTGCCACAACACAAAAAATAAATGCTAGCAGATCTACAAGATCACATGAGATTGTGTTTGATGTTGTTTTAAGGTTTGARCTTAATGGTTACAAGGCCATCATTTCTCAATATAAGATGATGTTGGTGTAAAACTTTGGCACAGGAGGTGGTGTGACATCCTTTAAGGAATAATGGGCCTACAGCGACWGCTCTGTATTCCTTTGAATTTGTGATACATTAAATATTTAAACAGTATATTTTTGTGTCTCCTGAAGAGATCACATCACTTTCTTCTGACAGATTCTTCTTTTAACAGCAACCTGTCAGCAGGTCAGTTCCAGTATCAGTGAAGATGAAATTCTGTGGCCTCTCACTATGAACCCTCTCTGCAGTTTAATAACAGATTGACCTGAAGGACCTTTGGAGCCATCGGTCTTTCTAAATCTAAACTCCTGACTGTCAGACAAAAGAAAAAAAAACACGACAAACAGAGACAAAGATTTTAGTACCAGTTAAATATCTAACTGCTCTGCATCACTCAGGATATGGGTCTGGTGTAAAAACCTAAAGTGTTTTTTCTTCAGAGAACATACAAATTCACAGGWAGGAGGGTTGTCCCAGATCAACACTAAACACTAACTGAACATGATAATGACAATGGTCCTAAAAGAAGGGGTGAACACAAAYGACAGTTATTAAATGATAAAAACTGATTAAAAGAAAAGGAAACACCTGGGAGCAATTATCAACTGAGGATAGACACATAACCCAGAACAAGAGGAAAACAGGGTGTGCAAACAAAAAAAACCATGAAAAAGGCTAAAGTAATAAACAAAACAAAAAACATCACATTATGACAATATATAACCCCATCAGTATGCAAACTCTTCATACTTCCACAGCTTTAGCAGTACCTGTACACATTATACATCAAAATGTAAGCATATCAGTACCTCCACAGTGGAGATGTTGTGTGAAAATATTAATCAGTACCAGTATAGATGAGCTGGTGTTTAAGAAGGCTGATGTCTGACCAAGCCAAAGCAAATCTGATGTTCACTCTGCATGGATCCTCATCACATCAGGTGTACACCTGAGTCGGCCAGGTGCTGCTGTGTCGCAGGTCATGCAGAAGTCATCTTATACAAGGTAAGCTAATAAATAGTCTGTGTTCGGTATCATAACATACTAACTGTTGCCTCGTTGTGATTGGATAACTGCCTGTTAGGTTTGTTTACTATAGAAAGAAGTGTTTAATGTTTGGGATTGAACTAACGTAACAGATATTAAAACATTAAATTATGGGCAGTCTATAGTTGTCACTATAATCTGTCCATTTTATCRAAACAACTGTGACATCAAGGATACATTAAAAAAGGAAAAAAACGGTGAAAAAGCAAGCCAGTGTCTGAAAGTGCCWGACCAGTCTCGTACAATTAAACATTTATTTGTGTCCATATCTCTGTGAAAAATTAGGTGATATATTATATTTCTAGTGACTTGTAGACCTTCAGCAGCTCTCCAGTGAACAAAGCCACATATTCAACCAGACCTAAACATTAATGTAATCAGTGTTTGGCCAGTGTTGAGTCGACCTTCCATCCATTTCTCAGCATGGACAGATCAGGTAGCTCTTCTTGGCCAAAATGATGAAGTAGCTTCACCACACATTGCTCCCTTGCCTTGAGGATAAGACTTTTTAGCATAATCTGATAARTCGTATCGACTGATGATGGGTCGATTATTCCCTGAGGCGTCTGTTCCAGTGTTGGCTGTTTGCTTTTTATCCACAGACAACCTTCATCTGCTCTGCTGGTGATTTAACCTGAAGCAGGTTAGAGACTCATCTTCACAGTAAACTGTTTTGTATAAAAAGCTTGTGTTTCCTGGAAGTAACACATCTGATTATTGTAATTACTCTCTGTTTGAAATCATTCTCACATTATTAGGATTAGTCAACTAGACATAAAGGATACACAGAGGAAATGTGTGTACGTCTACGTGTTATCTGTATAGCAGTTAGGTTTGTGTGTTGCCATTTTGACAGAATGATCCCAGTTACATTTACATACAACCATCAGGAAACCCATCCACATGAATAAATGAGTGTCTTCTGTGTGCACTCTGTGCAGTCCAGGCATGATGTTCAGTATGTGTGGCCACCTGCAGGTGTAACATGAGAYTATGACGTGAGCTGGGCACACAGTGAAGTGTGTTCTCAGTAAAAGTGGGTGAGAAAGGCAGAAAGGGTAAACGACAGTGGTTTTAAAGAGTCTGTGTGTTTTTATTGTGTGTGATGCACACCTGAGAGCTGACAGAGACAAATGTGAGCAGTAGTTAGTGTGTTATGTTGTAGGTCCACATACATTTTTATTTATTCTGACAGACTGATGAATTCTGGGTATTGGGGATTACAGTGACCTATAGAGACGGAAGATGTTGTTTATTTGTGTGTGTGTGTGTGTGTGTGTGTGTGTGTGTGTGTGTGTGTGTGTGTGTGGAGGAGGTTGATAAATGGAAGGATACTTACTACTGCTGGGTATTAAATCTCTGTCTGGTATAAATAGTTTGTATCCATAATGTTTCTCCAGAACGTCCGGCAGAATCTCCAGAGCAAAGGTTTCCTCATCGCTGCTGGGCCTGCTGGGACAGCAAATAAACAAATACTCTATGGTTCACAGTTTCAAACACAAAYCTGGTAAATCAGCTCCTAATGATGCCCGCAAACATATTCAGAAACATTTTTAAGGTGGGGCGGGGTACACCCTGAACAGGTCGCAAGTCCATCACGGGGCAATGAATAAAGCAGAGGGAACCTATTTGAGGCTTACATTATCATGATTCATTCATACTGACTAGGGTTGGGCAAGGTTTTAATATGAACGATTCTGGTTCCCAACAATTCCCAGTTCACATTTCTTTTTTAGAAGCAGGGTCAGAAATGTTTACATGGTTTAAATCTTGTAGCAGTTAGTTATTAATCTTGTATCGTCTTATTCCGTTGGCAGATTTTACCTTCATTTGAGTCTCAAATTAAGTGAAATACTCTGACAGTGGAATGAGACAGCTGCATTTGGTAAGACATCTTGAAATAAGGAAAATCTCCAGGTTAATAACATTAATAATCTAACAGTCTGCTTTAGTTTCAAAACCAAAAAATAATTCTTGGCTGATATAAGATTGTAAGACTTGGTTAGATGGACATTTTTTGCAGCATGCACTTTTACATGAGAGCTTTACTCTTAAAAATAAAACACACTGATGCATATACAGTGTCTGATGCTGCAGGAACTTCAACATGTTACTGAGCTGATTTTACAGTTTTAACGTCTATCTGCCTCCATGTTGGTATTAGACATATTTTATTTTTTAAGTTACTCCTGTTTAATCATATTGGTCATGTGCACTCTTTTGCACAGTATAATCTTATTCTTTTACTAAAGTTAAGCCACACTTTTAGATCACCGCTGCACATTGTCCATTTGTGCACACACTATTTGGAGATTCTTCTTCGTTGGTGTTTGGGCAGCTTTTTCTTCCAGTGGGTGGACTAGGCATCGAAACTAAGAATCAAAACGTAAAACATTTTAATGATTCCGAGAGAATAAAATCATTAGTATCAGTTCCATTGATTCTAGATGTCCAACCGTAATACTGACAGATGTTTTATAAACTTTCCACAATTCAGTGTCATTCTAACAAGTGGTGTAGGTTGTGAAGAGCGTTCGGTTATCTTTCAAAATTTTTAATTCTAYTTTAAAGAAAAAGTTATTTTAAAATGATTTGCTATCTTCTAATAGTTTCCTTTGGTTTTCTGAGAATTATTGTAGCTTTTTCAAACAGGTAAWTGTTCTTCTGGAGCAACTGAAAGTCTAACATCATGAACCAGGAGGGCCTTCCATGTATTGGACTTATTTATCCACAAACGTATCAACATCTGTCCGTCCGTCCATTTTCTTCCTCTTATCTGTGGTCAGGTCTCAGGGGCAGCAGCCTCAGCAGAGACCCAGACTTCCCTCTCTCCAGACACTTGGACCAGCTCCTCTGGGGGAATCCCAAGGTGTTCCCAGGCTGAGAAACATAGTCCCTCCAGCGTGTCCTCAACTCGGGACGTTGTGGTTCGGTGGGCGGAATACTTCGAAGACCTCCTCAATCCTACCGACATGTCTTCCAATGAGGAAGCAGAGCCTGAGGACCCTGGGTTGGACTCTTCAGTCTCTGGTGCCGAGGTCACTGAGATGGCTAAAAAGTTCCTCGGTGGCAGGGCGCCGGGGGTGGATGAGATTCACCAGGGGCCTCATGCATTAAGGACTGCGCAGCTTTCACACTAAAAGTTGACGTACGGACAAATTTAGAAATGTGCTCCGCACCAAAATATCCAGATGTATCAAACTGTGTGCACGCAGGTTCCTGCGCACCTTTCCTTTATACATCCTAATGAACGTGAAACTGAGACTCCTGAGACTCCTCCCCCTGTCACGCCTCCATTTAAATCTGTAAAATAGATGTAAATGTGTCCAGATTCTCCTCAGACTGTCTCTCTGTGGGATCAGACATGAGTTTTACATGCAGGAAAATTATACATTTAATGGAGAATGAGTTAGAAAACTGTCTAAATAAGTAGTGTCTTTGTTTTATGTGGTGCATTCACACAGGATAACCAAAGCCTGAGATTCTCCTGAAGTTTACAGACATCTCCTGAATGTGATGTTGAAGCTGGTTAGTTGTTGTCTATTTAGTTGAACACGACGTTGAACGGACGTTAAAAAACTAAACTAAACAAAACTAAAAACAAACAAAAAAACATCCCGTGATCCACTTTTTCCTCTCTCCTTTCCTCCTGCCTTACAGCAGGCACTGTCATCTCCACGTACAGACCCCCACCCCACCCCCACGAGCGGGTACGAGTGGTAGCCTACGGATTTTTAGTAAAAAACATAGATTTTTGAGGCAGGCAGGTAAATGTCCAAAGGGGTTGACACAAATGAACACCTTCCCAGCTGGTGAGGGTGTGTGCTCCTGGCACGACAATCTATCCAAAGCACAGCTGCTGCACTACAGCCACAACTCAGCTCAGCATCAGTCAGAAGGTTACACACAGAAAATATAATTATTCTTACCGTACAGTGAGACACCATTTGCATCTGATTTTGCTCCCTGTCTTCAGACTTTTTTTTATTTTATTTTATTATGTCGCATGTAATGTGTCGGGCTTTTCCGGCCCGGGACCCAAAAGGTTTTCAACCATGTGACAACAATAAAACCAGTTTACAGACTGGACTGAGGGTCTTTGATCAGTTTTAGACTGATCTATTTTCTTGTCTGAGGTTAAATGATTTTCAGTTTCATCATGGTTCAGTTTAAACAATAAAAACTCAAACTAAAATAAAAATCTAACACTGTGTTCAGACGCTCCCTAGAGAAAACACAACAGTCATATTTCTGTGGATTCAGCTCAGATTCATGACTTTGTGAGTTAAAACTGTTGACTGAAAAACTTTGTGTGTCTGCTGCACATTCTCACAGCAGGTGAAAAGTGTGTGTAAATATACGCACACTTTCACACAACGTTGGTTTTAATACATCACAACGTGGACGTAGAACCTGGAGCACACAACTTTTTTATGCGTACGCACAGTTTATACATGAGGGCCCTGGTGTTCCTTAAGGTTCTGGATGTTGTGGGGTTGTGTTGGTTGATGKGACTCTACAATATCATGTGGACATTGGGGGCAGTTCCTCTGGATTGGCAGACCGGGGTGGTGGTCCCCCTATTTAAAAAGGGGGACCACAGAGTGTGTTCCAACTATAGGGGGATCACACTTCTGAGCCTCCCTGGTAAGGTCTATTCAGGGGTCCTGGAGAGGAGGGTCTGTTGGACATGTGTTTTGTGGACTTGGCGAAGGCGTTCAACTGTGTCCCTCAGGGACTGCTGTGGGGGGTACTCCTGGAGTATGGGGTACTAGGCCTGTTGATACGAGCTGTTAGGTCCCTGTAGGACCGGTGCCAGAGCTTGGTCCACATTGCTGGTAGTAAGTCAGACTTGTTTCCGGTGAGAGTTGGACTCCACCAAGGTTGTCCTTTGTCACCGATTCTGTTCATAACTTTTACAGAATTTCTAGGAGCAGCCGAGGTGTTGAGAGGATCCTTTTTGGTGACCTTAGGATCATATCTCTGCTTTTTGTGGATGATGTGGTCCTATTGGCTTCATCAGATCCTGACCTCCAGCTCTCACTGGAGTGGTTCACAGCTGAGTGTGAAGCGGCCAAGATGAGGATCAGTGCCTCCAAATCCCAGACCATGGTCTTGAGCCAGAAAASGGTAGGGTGTCTTCTCCAGGTCAGGGAGGAGGTCCTGCCTCAAGTGGAGGAGTTTAAGTATCTCAGGGTCTTGTTCATGAATGAGGGAAGAATGGAGCAGGAGATCAACAGGTGGATTGGTGCTGCGTCTGCAGTGATGTGGGCGTTGTACCGGTCTGTCATGGTGAAGAGAGAGCTGAGCCAGAAGGCAAAGAAGGAGAAAGACCCAGGACACACTGGAGGGACTATGTTTCTCAGCTGGCCTGTGTAGGGGTTTTTGGGTACATTCTAAAATTGATAATTTGTGAACACACAAATTATATTTAAATATA